CAAGAGGCAACGGGCAGAAACTGAACCACAGGAAGTTCCACCTAAACCTGAGGAAAAACTTCTTCCCTGTGAGGGTGACAGAGCATTGGAACAGGTTGCCCAGAGAGGTGGTGGAGTCTCCTTCGCTGGAGCTATTCAAAACCCGTCTGGATGTGATCCTGGGCAATATGCTCTAGGTGACCCTGCTTGAACAGGGAGGTTGGACTAGATGATCTCCAGAGGTCCCATCCAACCTAAACGATTCTGTGATTCTGTGATACCAGCAGCAATTTGTGTTACTGTTTTAAGTGTTCTAGCAAACAAGATATATTAAGTGCTGCCAGGTAGTCTGTACAGTTTCTCTATAAACTAGGCACGTGGTACAAAAGAACAACATGGGGTAAAACATTGGTCAAATAACTCTTCAGAGCACAGATTATCTTCTTGTCTACCTGTGCAATCCCTAACTTAGCAGGCATTTACTGGCTAGCCTTACTTCCGAGTGAGGCTTGAAACTGCTGCCACATTATGGACAGGTAGAACAAGCTTCTAATATAATCCATCCTGCTGTCCTGAGCATATGTTCTGCAAACTGAGATTCTCCAGAAAGTGCAGAGCCCTTTTCATCCAGCTCCATTTCCTGTTAGGTGGTAACAGGTAGAAGTTTCTGCTGCTAAGTCTAACTGGCACAAAAAATGGATTTCTCTTCTGGTTGTATAACTTCTATGTAGTAAGTCATTCAGGGTATGGTAAAGGACATGCTCCCAGCTTGGGACTTTTTGCTTTATAAACAGAATTGCTGTAGCTGAGGAAGGGAAAGAAAGAATAGGGCTGCAATTTGCCTTATACACTTAAGGCTGATCGCTCTAGGATCTCGGCCCCTGGTCATCCAAAACGCTGTGATACCAATAATAACAGAGTGTTAATGGAAGCAGAAATGCAAGTCTTGGGCTCTGAGGCAGCAAATTAAGAGCACTTCTCTTGGGCTTCTTCATTATGTTAACTTGCATGCATTCTTATCTAGTGAGGAGTTAGGTGATACAAAAAAAGAGATGTTTCAACAGCACAGTCAGAGAGAGCAGTACATTGGCAGAAATGTTTGCCTGAGACACTGGAGCCTAGAGGCTAAATCAGTACTTCACATACTCCTAGGTATTTGACATTTGTCTCCTGTATTGCTGGAAAACATTTCTAACTCTTCTCCT